CCGCCACCGCCCCCCCCCCCCGCCCCCCCCGGTCCGGCCGCGGCCGCCCCCTCCCCCGGCCCCGGCCGCCCGGCCCGGGCAGGCGCGGCGGCGGCGGCAGCGGCGGCGGTGGTGCCGCTGCCAACATGGCCGATCCGCGCCCTCCCCTCCCCGCGCGGCCCCGCCGCCGCCGCCGCCACCCCCGCGGGGTGCCGCGGCCCCCCGGCGCGGCCCCGCTCACGGCTCTCCCCTTCCTCCCGCAGCAAAATGTTCATCGGGGGACTGAGCTGGCAGACCACGCAAGGTGAGCGCCGCGGGGCCCCGCACCTGCCGCCGGGGCCGGGGGTGGCGGAGCTGGGGCTGAGCCCGGGGGGGGCGGCGGGGCCGGGCCGGACAGGGACAGGACGGGACACCCACGGTGGCTGCTGTGCTTGCAGAGGGCTTGCGGGAGTACTTCAGCCAGTTCGGCGAGGTGAAGGAGTGCCTGGTGATGCGGGACCCGCTGACAAAGAGATCCAGGTGAGAGGCCGGGCCCGCGCCTCCCTTCGCCCCCGCCGCGGCCCGGCCGCCACTTTAACCAACTTTCTCTCTTCTCTCCTCATCCCCTCTTCTGCCCGGGCTGCGGGGCTCAGGGGCTTCGGGTTCGTCACGTTCATGGACCAGGCTGGCGTCGACAAGGTCCTGGCCCAATCCAGACATGAACTGGACTCCAAGACGGTGAGATGACTTCTCTCATCTCAGGGGTGCATTTGCCGGCGGAATGGCTGTGCTCGGAGCAGCCGTCGATTGTAGTGTTTGATTTCCAGTTAGAGGTTGTAAACTATTGATTCCTGATACGGATCAATCGTTCTCTTTTCTGTCCCACTTGCCGGCGGGTAGCCTAGCTGCCGCCCAAGCACCGGGCTCACCGTGTGCCTTTTCCTGGTGTGGGTCTGTGGATCTTGGTGATGGTTTTCATCTCGCCTGCTGGTTTTAAGGCCCATCCGGGCAGTGACTGTATCCCTTTCGGAGCTGGGACACCTGAACACGTTTGGGATGAGGATTTAGCCCGGGAAATAAGATGTGGCTGTGTTTGGAGAGAGGGAAGCCGCCCTTTCATCCTGTGTGCTGCCGAGCGCTGATCCCTCCTCGGGGTGCTGCTCCCCAGTGCCCAGGCCCTGCTTCCCTGGCCACGGTGGCCTATTCCCCACCCCCTTCCTGGCAGAGAGCCCTCGTTCTGTGCACCCCAGAGATTCTCTTGTGGTTTCCCAGGTGAAGTTTTTGTAATGGTCACGGAGGCTCACGACTTTATTGTCTCCAAGTGTGGCTACTGCCTGCCGTGTGGGCCATCACCAGCCTCTCGGAGTGGCTGCGGCTCCAGCCCTCACTCTGCAAGTTTGGGGAATGAGGAGCCCCAGCTGGGCCAGCAGAAAGATTTGGTAGCTCACTGGACTAGTGGCGTGGTGTGGTGGGTCCTGCCTTGTGAATCTGTGGTGCTCATGAGATGTGCAGACTGTTTTGAGGGGTGGAGGTGAGATGTCTGAGTGGGAGGTCCCTTCTTTTAGTTTTAGTGACTTGCGTTCCCCTGAATTCCTTTCCCTTATTGCTGCCCTGGGGTGAAGGTGAGGGTAGGGATGGGGGAGTGGCTGGGGCTGCAAGAGGATGGCATGGTGATGGGGCATGTTCTGGCTTCAGGCAAGGGCTGCTGAGGAGTCCAAATGTAGAGTTTTATTTCTTGCAGCGCGTGGCCCAGGCATCCTAGTCTTTATCTTGCTAGAAGGAGGGCGGGAGAGTGAGACCCTCTTTCTTAGGGTTTACGGCATGAGTTGCAGCAAGATTTATGTCTGTTCCTGTTTAACTGCCTGGATCGCTCCCTTTGATGTGCATAGGTCCTTCCTCCCCACGGGAGCTCCTGCTTAAACCCACCCCAGCCTTCCTGGCTGAGGCTGGGTCCCCAGGACTCCCAGCCCTCCTCCTTCCAGAAGTGATGTAAAGTGAATTTTGCTCTGAACGGGAGGGGGGGTTACAGGAATGTCTTTTGAGGAGGGCCTAGGGTTTTTTTTTTTTTTTTTTTTTTTTTTTTTAACTAGCCTGTGTAAACATAGTGTCTGATCAGCTAGTCCTGTCATGAGTCTGTGGGCTGGCGTAGACCCCTCTTGAAAATGCAAGTGATGGATGTCTGTTGTAGCAGTAATCCTGGAAGTGTTTCAGAGCTAGGAGTGAGCTGAAATGCACGTTGTCCATTCTTCTCCCCAAGCCGCCGCTGCGGGCTGTGCGAAGGTGCTGTGCAGCCCATGGTGCAGCCCCGGCGGGCAGGGAGGGATGGTGGGCGCTGCGGGAGAACAGAAGAGCCTCGTGGTGTGGGGCGCGTGGGGACCGGCCAGCCATTGAAATTCCCTGCTGCATCTGCTCCGCTCGCCCCGCCGGCGCAGCAAAGAGAATGGGGACAGTTTCGCCAGGGTCTTCTTTGTTAGGAACTTTGATCCTCTTCCCCCTTCCTTTTTATTTTTTGTTTAGTGCAGTTTTCAGGTGGGTCAGATGTTTTGGTGTGTTTTGCCTCATGAGAGGTTGGTCTTGTGGGAGCACCTGGAACCTCCATATGCCTTTTCTCTGCTAGGTGAAGGGCTCTGCTATGAGTCGTGGGTTAAATGACACAAACTCATCTAAATCTTAATTTAGAGTTTTATGAAACTTTGCAGGAAAAGGCCTGGTGTCCTGTAAGGACAGCCTTCTCATGGGGCTTGGCGTCTCCTGGCAAACAGCATTTGATAGACAGTGTCTGATCAACTTGTTGCTTTATTGTTTTCTGATTCTTCCTACCCTAATGAAGGTGGTTGGCCTGATTCTTTGGGGCAGCCTTGTTCTTTTCAGACTCTTCTTTGTTTGTAAGCTAGATAGCAGCAGACTACAGGGTTATTTTTGAAAATACTTGATATGAGAATTGGCTTTACAGTCTCAAGGTAAAAGATTTGCTTGACTTTGTAAAGCTGCAGCTGGTCGCTGCCTTGAGCTGCTTCTTTACTTGCTCTGGGAAGAGCACTTGGCAGTGCTGGGTCATCCCATCGTTTCTTTGTTGCCACTGTTGAGTTTTTACTGGGTTTGTCTGTTGTGGTGGCGGGAGTGATCTGCAGCTCCCCGGCAGTGCAGACCAGCAGGGCAGAGGTAGTGACAGAGGTACAGTGAGAGAACAAACCTGGACCTGACATCTCACGGGTCTCACAGAGCCCTCCCTCTGCTTTGGGACACTGATACCAGCTAGGCTAACACAGGAGTTACGTGACCTGAGCTATGAAATGGGACTGGAGGTGGCCTGAAGAGCATTACTGAGGACCTGGCTGGCCTGTTGGTACACCTGCAACTTCAGTGGGATTCCTCATGCCCAAAGCCTTGTGGGGTGAACTGGAAGCAGTTTGAGCTCAGGCGACTTCCATTCACTGCAGCCTGATCTGGGGTTTTGTTTTTTGGATACAATCTGAGCAATTCTGAATGCTCTTAGCAGATTTCTATCTGGGTTTGTAAAAAGGATCTATTACGTCAGTAGGTGACACTGAAACACAATTCCTCCAGGGTTATTTTAACACCAGAAATGAGGGAATAAGGTACTGGTGCCTTTGCTTTAATTATGAAAGACTCCAGCCACCAAGGAGCAGTCCAGTTTAAGTAACTTGAGTCCGGCACCAAACTCGCTCCCCTCTGCATGTTCCCAGGGCTGAGCCTGCAGTCGGTCACCCCAGCCTCCCTCTACCTGCAACAATAGCTGGTTGTGCAGAAGAATTTGTGAAATGACTGCCTGCTCTCCCCAGCCAGGAGGACACGTTATCTCTGCCCAGTTGATCACACTCAGGGTAATGAGAAAATGAGGCTGAGCTTAGCATTGCTGAGTATGAAAGCATCTTATTGGCAGGAGCTGAATGACACTGGCTGAGAAGTAAAAGACAGTAGATTATTGTTTTTGCTTATTATCTGCCATCAACCTCCTGGTCTCCTGCCGTCCCCTGTCCTCAGAATTCGCTGTGGGTGTCTGCACAAGCCAGGAAGCAGTGGAGGGAGGGGTGTGTGCTTGGGGAGAGGAGGGCCTGGATGGTTCCGATGCCCCAGGGAGGCACTGGAGGATATGCTAATCTGCTGGCGCTTGGAGCTTGGGGAGCGAGGTTTATTTTTGAATTTATTTGTGCTCTTCAGTTTTGCCTGTGTTTACCTACGTGCTGAGTTTATTTATGTTGTAAGCTGTGAGTCAGGATGGAGGTGGGGAAGGCAGGGAGAGGAGCTGGTGGAAGGGCACAGGGGGGCCAAGCGCCGGGGCTGTGAGACAAGTAAAAGGATGCGGGACGGGAGGGCAGCCAGGCTGGAAAGCTGAACAAAGCAGTGAGAGGAGCTGGAGAAATACAGCTTCCTTTTGGGCTGTTGGAGCTGCTGGGCTGATGGGACAACGCTCCAGGCTGCCCTCCCAGCTGCAGCCGGTCCAAGTGTGGGGATGAGCCAAACCTGCCTTTACCACAGGTCTTTGTAAGCTGATTTGTAGGTCTGGATCATCCCCGTTGTGATGTAACTTTACAGGAGTTGCTGTAAAAATAGGCTATAAAGAAAGAGGTGGTGGCTGAGGAGGAGAGATGGCTTTGTGGGTGTTTGGCTTGCAGCTGCATTAGTGTTGTCCCAGCTTTTGTGGTAGTGCTGCTGGTGGTGTGAGGCCAATATAGGCACGCGCTCATCCATGCTGAGCCCGGCAGAACATGCAGCACCTGGATGGCAGCACGGGGCCCGGCTGCTCCAGCCAGCAGCAGGTTTATAGGGAAGCTGAACAGGCACAATGGAGGCTCAGCCCGCGGAGGGAGGGAGGGGAGGGAGGGAGGCATCACGGCTTTGTGTGCAGTGCGGCCTGGGGAGAGGGGCAGCACGATCCCTGCGGCCGCAGCCTCTGCAGCCGGGGGGCCTGGGCTCCTCGGGTTAATTTGTGCCATCCTGTCTGCTCTTTTATTGCTTCTTTTTGTCTGCACTTCAGTCTGTGTTTGAAGGGATGAAATGTTTGGGGGTTTGTGCACTGTTTCTTTTCTGTCTTGTTAATACCCAGCTGAACTCCGTGCTTGTAAGCAGAGTGAAGGGTGAGAGCAAAAAAAGGCAAAATAAACCACTTTTAATATGAGGCTGGCGAGGCAAGGCACCCGGGGGCTGGCCAAGCGGGAGGGTGCAGCCCAGCCTGTTAATCCCAGCATGTGATGGGCTCTCAGTGCATCTGCCCAGTGCTCAGCAGGAGATGGACCACTGCATGCTGGGACTTGTAGTCTCCCTGGATTACACCTTACCAAGAGGGAAAGATGTCTGCAGCCAGCTTCATTTTATGTATCTCAGGTAGATTCTTTGGGTTTTTAGCAAGGTGCCACATGGGCAGAGACAGCTGCACATATGGGGGAAACCCTGTGTCTGTAAATAGGCAGGAAAAGTGTGTTCACCTGTTCTTCCCCACATCTCTTTCAGATTGACCCGAAGGTAGCGTTCCCTCGCCGAGCACAGCCCAAGGTAAGCACTGTGGGCAGTCCTTGTGCCACAAAGGGTGAGCCTTGTGGTGGTGAGCCTTGTCCTTCTGTGCAAGGTGACCAGTGCATGCAACAGAGTTGCTTGCTGGGGTTTGCTCAGGACTCACCTGGAGCGCAGTGCTGGGAGTTTGCATGGCACTGAAGGAGCCAGGAGGCCCCTTGGTTATACTTCAGGATGCACTAGATAGAGCTGGTGGATTAAAGGCTGCCCAGGGTGAACTTAGTCCTTCCGAGGTTGCAGACCATGTTTGGAAGTTCCAGGCCTTAGGAGATATGGAACAGCTCCATGCTGTGATGAGACACAGGTAGAAGAGTGTCTTGTGTGTGCACCTGCGTGTGATGAATAGGTGTATGGCAGCAAAGGGAAGAAGGATTTCACTTTGTGAAATGCCCTTGTGTACTTCAGCACTGGAAAAGGCAAAAGGAGTTTGGTGTTGGATCTTACCTACAAGAGGCTCTGGCATTAAAATGCACAGTGGCAGGAACTCTTTCCAGGTGTGCAGCTAGAAACTTTTAGCTGAGGAGCCAGCAGCATACTGAAGACTGCCTTTAGACTTTGGGTCTTCCTTTAACTTGGCTCTTGGATGTGAGTTTTAAAGTTTGGAGTCTGTAAATTCCAAGTGCTGTTAGGGGTGAAAGAGCTAGGGAGAAGCTGTGTTGAGAAGCAGAGAGGAAAGAGGAGACTGGTGCTGGGAGGGAAGTAAGGGGTTCAGGCACTGAGAACAATTGGTGAGCAGGTATCCCAAGTAACTGGAGCCAGGAAGCACATGGTAGGAATTGGGTTAATTCCATTAAGCAGTTTGGTGACAGAAGGTGCTTTAGTGTTAGAACGGGCTGCTCTCCAAGCCAGGGAATTGCTGCGGATTAGCCCTATGCTCCTTGGGGTAATTAGGACCATGTGTTCCTCTGAGAGCAGGGGTGTAGCCAAGCAGCTAAGGGGAGGATGCAGCTGGAGAGCTGGTTCAAAGGATGTCGATGTGCCTCAGCCTGGCAGCCATGGCCCCTCTCAGGGCAGTCAGTTTTCTTCCTTGTCCCAGCGTATCAGTGACAAGTGGCAGAGGGATCTTGCCTTTACCCTCTTGCAGAGGCAAAAGCAATTTAACTGGGTGTTAACTGGGCTCCATTTAAGTGACTGGAGAATGGTAGTGAAATGAGGCCTATTCTATTTCAGACTGGAATGCTGTGCAATTTGTGGGGTGGGAGGGCAAAGCCTGGGGAACCTGCCTGTGCTGGCAGACCTCCTGCCACCCTGGGAGCAGAGCAGGTACCTCTGGGGTTGCCTGGAGGAGGCTGGCTGTGCAAAGTGGCAGGGCTGGGGAAAGGACAGCTATGCCCCATACATTTGGGGTGCTGTCACAGTGCCAAGGGAGCGGTGGCAGTTTGGTGAGGGGAGAGGCTGGTAATTGTCTGACAAGGAGGTGGTATCTGCGTGCTGGCATATCTTATGGTATCTGTGAAGGCAAGGGTATGAATCTGGTGTGGGACAGATCTGCCAGCTGTGTTTGGCCAGAGGGCTTCAAGAAGTTGGAAGCTCAGCTGCAGCAAAGGGAAAAGTGTTTCCCGGCAGCAGAGGGGAGTTAGTGGCCTTTTGAGTCTCGTTCTCTGCTCACTCTGGGTTTATTTGGTGAATTCCTGTCCTTCCCTTTTCCAGATGGTGACCCGAACGAAGAAGATATTTGTGGGTGGTCTGTCTGTGAACACTACTGTGGAGGATGTGAAACAATATTTCGAGCAGTTCGGGAAGGTAAGTCTCTTGAGTGATGTTGGATCAAAGCTGTTGCTTCTGGGGCAAAAGAAGTTTTCTGAACTTTTGTGGGGGCGGGATTAGAAGCTTGAATCTTTTGCAAGGGTTAAGTAGATTAAAGGTCAGTTACAGATGCTGGCTGGCTGTAATGTCCTTGTAGGAGCTACAGCCAGTGACTCCTGCCCTGTGGTGATTTGAAACAGAGTTTATCCTTGTTCCCAGAGTTGCTAGGACTTTGGCTATGGAAAATGGTTTTCCAATTTTTCCCTATCCAGAATCCTCTTGTGGCACATAGATTTGCAGTTTGTTCAAATGCTGGAGGAAGGTTTGTAGACACTCATAACAGAGTGGCTGCTTTATCAAACCTCTCATTTTGGCCTGTTTCTAACTCAAAACATTGTGATGTATTTTTCAATAAACCTTTATTAAAAATACGTCTTTTGGTCCTAAAACTTCTCCTGCTGAGTCTTGGGCAAGTAAGTTTTGTATAGTTGAAGAAAGTTTGGCATTAAGGCTGTCCCTTGTCCTGGTCTGGCTCTTCTGTGGCCAGTGGTGGCTCAGGGAGGGGTGGGTTACTGTGGCTGGAAGTCACTTGTGCCATGGTCCATGACAGCCAGGTGTATGAATTGTGAGACTGGGCCAAATCTGAGGATTGGAGGGGGAGCTCAATTGAGGTCTTCGAGCTGAGGAGATTGTCAGCATCCCCAGGAGCAATATCAGCAGGATCAGACTGAAGGATCCCAATATTTTTAATGGGATTAGGAACTGAAGGGGATCATCGTACCCAAGTGCCGAGTGTGGTCACCTCTTTGGCAGGACATTGACTGTTTCAGTGTTGTTCAGTGGTGTTGTGCGTAAGTTTGCTCTTTGGGGCAGGAAGTGTTAGGTTCTGCAGCTCTTGGAACCTTCCTGCCCAGTTAGGAGGGAAGAACACATTTTGGTGGGTGGTGACCTGTCCAGAATGTTGATGATAGAATCACGATCATGGAGGGAAGTACCATGGGAACTGCTGTGTGGGGATAAAGGCTTGGTATTAATTTTCTTTTGAAATTTCCTGAAAAGGGGTGATGTTATGTTAAGGCCCACTAATTAGTGAAAACAAAGGGAGTTTTGTAACCAGATTTTCCATATTGCTGAAACTTTTGGGCAAAAAGTTTGGGACAAGTATCTGCTCAGAACCTTTGGTGCTTCTGAAGCCAAATTTGCATGTCCTGGTGTGCAAAGTGGGACTCTGTTCACTCCTAAGAGAAAGTGGTTGGATGTCCTCATGTTTGCCAGTTGGTATCCCTATGTGGTTTCTTCCATATAAGAAACAGGCAAACTCTGTTGTGTCCCCAAGAGCTTTTACATGGTATCTTCAAGAGTACCACCGCTAAAGGTGGTGGTGTCCATGTGTCTGTGCAGTCTGAAGGCTGTTTGACTTACAAGTTCTTCTGTGCTACTGATGGATGTGTTTGATAGGAAAACAAATTGTCTTTGGCATAATCCCCTTTTAACCTTGACAGTATCCCTGCTAATTCAAAGAAGAAGCATGTTACAGAGCACTCAGTTTCCAGGCAGTTCTAGTTGCTCTAGTCTGAGCAGTCCTTTCCAGCTCATTTGGGGTGCTGTTATGTTTCTCTTGTTTAATGGTTGTGTGCCGAGAGGTGTCCTGACATCAGGTGACTGACAAGGACTGGTTGTGTGAGACTGTTTTCTGGAGTGGGCAGGAGGGATTGTTCTGCATAGCTCAGTGCCATTCATTTCTGAAAAACCAGTGTGCCAGACAACATCCAGTGCTCCAAATCTGTGTGAAGCTGGGGCAGTTGTCCCCTTGGCTCTGGGGAGTTTCCATGGGGAGATGTTAGGGCTGGTCAGATTGACTCGCCATTTTCAGGGCAGTATTCTGACTCATCTGTTCGCTTCAGATGAGAGATTCCTCAGAGCTCTTGTGTAAAGCATCATTCCTGGCCTGTAACCATCTTCCAGACTAAGCCTCAAATAATTCGCCCATGGTCAGGAGATCTGTTTCCTGAGACATTCTCTACAGTAGATAGCTTGGTACAGCTGATGGGCGGGATTAGTGGGAGAGTGCATTTCAGGGGAAAGCCTTGTGGCCTTCAGCTCTGGAGTTCTGAACTCTGAATGTGCTGTTGTATGGTTTATAGAGCTAAGCAAAGCCTGTTGTCGTCAATTTCAGCTGTGACTCATAGAAAACATGATTTTGATACACAGTCTCTCCTGGTGGCTCTGTATGATGTGATGGGGCCTCCCAGGTTTCAGAGGTGTCCTAGAATCCCATCTTTACAGGCATCCCAGACACCACAAGTGGTCTTCATCTCTTTGATGTATGGCATCTTCAAGTGAGAGGTCCTGAAGCTCCAGACATGGTCTCCTCATCTCAGAAAATGTTTTTTCATTCAGACTTTCCAAGTCACTTGGGTCCAGCGCTGCTTATGGAATTGTATCAAGACTGTGTGAAAAGGAACTGTTAAGGATGCCCTTTTAAAGCATTTCTTTAGAGGACTCACCCTCTTAGGAAAGAGCTTTGTAACTATTCCCTTTTCTTTGAAGTGGCCCCATAGTTGCCTGGGATATGGCAGGACAAAACTTGTTCCTCTTTCCTCCTGCCTGTCCAGGAAAGGCATGGGAACAACTTAGGACATAGAGAGGAGAGAGCACCAAGGCATCCTGTCCTGATTCCTCAAGCTCAAGGTGCCAGGGTCCCAGGGGTGATTTTTAGTCAGTTGTTGAGAATCCAGTGGCAAGCTCACTTTGGATCTTGGCTTCAGGGGGAGGTCATGCTCTGCTTCTGAGGACAGGGGAATCCAGGCTGCTGAATGGCTTTGGTATGAAGGTTTGTACATAACCCTCAGGCCACAAGCCTGAGTGTGTCTCAGATTTGCCACCACTTCAGGTCTTTAAATTAGGATAGATGCTTTTGAAAAATACATTTTAGCCCAGACAGAAAGCATGTACATGCTGAAGGAATTACAAGAGGAAGTGCTATGGCCTGCAGAACAGATGAGGTCAAATTAGATTATCATAATGTTCTCTCCAGTTCAAATCCGTAAACTGCAGCTCACAAGTCTACCAAGGTGGTTCGTGTCAGTGCATCTCAGGTCAGAAGCAGCACACCTCCTACGTCCATTAGCAGGAAAAAAATGGAAGTTTACTTGGGCTGCAAAGCAAATGGTTTTCTATTTCATTAGACAAAATTCCCAAATGTGATTTTTCCATTTTGGCATTTCTGCTTATTCTCCTATTTTTTTTTTTTGTTTTGTTTTGTTTCCTTGCTGTGTCCAAAACCTTCTCTCACTTTTGTAAAATGGAAGTGGCAAAAGAAAGGTGAAAATGTGTGAAAAGGAAATCCATGAGTATTATTTAGTGATAAAGCAATAGAGGGAGAGGCTGCCACCCCAGTTCTTCATATCAAAATACTTGGTTTTAACAGGCACAAAAGGTGAAGCTTTCAAAGAGGATCCCAAATACAGTGTGAGTGTCTCTGCTTCAAAGAGGTATCAATTTGGGGTTTTTTTGCCTTCCAAAACTCTAAAATATATGGGCTGCTATTTTCCTGAGAAAGAAAATAGAAATTTATTTTTTTTTAGTACCGAGAGACTGAGAAGTGATCTCAAGCTGGCTGTGGCTTGTCAGGTGCAGCTGCAAGGGTTTTGAGCATAGCGAGATCTCTAGGAAATACTTCTGTGGTTCCAAAACTTGAATCTGAGATCCAAGCTCAGGCCATGCACATGCTTTTTAAAGGAGATTATTTTTTCAACTGTAGGACAGAAGTCCTGGAAAGGCTTTCATTCACAGTATGTGTAGCCAAGTAGTTTGACTTAAGTTGGATGGTGTTGAAGATCTTTAGACAGCACAAGGAATTATTTTGACAGTTTCTCTAGATTCAGGCTACTACCCTCAGTGCAACCTGCAACAGAAAGAGAGGAGGAAGGTGTCTTGGACCTACCACCTCAGGCACAGCTAGTCCTCTGTCTACATATATGAGAATGCCAGAGGAGCTCAAGTTGCAGCTTCCTCCTTTTCTGCTTTGACCTGTGGGAACATGTTGTTCTGTATTATTTTTGGGGGGGAAAAGGGGTTGTCCATCAGAGTAATTTTTTTGGACTGTTGGGTCTTTTATCTTGTAAGCAAGGTTATTTGTGTCAAATCAAAACTGAAAAAACTCAGATCATCTTTCTAATGCAAGAGTTGGTCTGATGAAGTTTTCTGGTAGAGAAAGTCATATAAATTGCAAGATAAGAGGAGGCTTAGAACAAATAAAGTCATTTTATCATGGAGCGTATCTAAACTGTGAAATCTTTGCTGCAGGATATTGTTGCTAAAATTTACATAGGCTCCAAAATGATTGGGCAAATTCATGGAAGGTCTTTTAACATACACAGACACCCCTTTGAATATAGAAAATCTCCAAATCACAGTAGCTTGGATGGGGATGTAGTGTTCTGGGCTCTGTGGTAATATCTCGCCTTATCTTTATGTTGATCCAAAACTGTCTGTTGGTTGATATCTTGGGAGATTTTGGGCAAGGCAGAGCTCTGCTCTAACTTGGTGCAGCTTGTCTTTTGTTTGTCATCAGGAGAGAAGGTGATCTTAACAGAAACTGGAAGTGCAAAGGTCCTGGAAGAAATGGGGGCCTGCACCCGAATCAGGATTTTGAACTCATGGTTTTGTTGTGTGCTTTTGCATTTGGTGAAGCAGCAGTGCAGGAAATACATTCACAATGACGTCTTTGCATGACTCACTAATCAGTTGCAGCACCAAGGGTGCTTGGAAAGTGCTTAAAACCAGTCTGCATCTCTCACTGGGCCTGAGGTAATTGTGTGTGGATGAGTCGGTCATGAAAGCTCGGCCTCTCAGTGAGGCAGCTCTTGCCCAGAGAGAGAGATCTCCTCTCTAAAAATACCCTGGAAGCAAACAAGAAAAAGGATCTGAGGTCTGAGGAGGGTTCTGACCTTTAGGCTGCCATCTAATACTCCATCCAAATTGTGGACCTGAGA